TATATATATATATATATATATATATATATATATATATAAGAGACATATACTTGGAAAAAGAATAGAGTTATATCTATATAAAAGTATTTATAGAATTAAAAAATTGTAAGAAAAACTATGTTATATATAAATATATATATTATGGTTATATACACTTATATATATATATATATATATATATATAAATGCGCAAATATTTTAGAATAATATATATTTACGTAACATATATATTATAAGATGATTACTTACTTGATAACTACTTACCCGCCATAAAAAAAAAAAAGTGCACCTTTATAGGTAATTCAGTGTAATTGATTTTCATTATTTATGTTTATACAAATTTAATATGATTAACAAGTCTTGTATTTAGCGTCTCTCGTAAAAATGCACTAAGTTAACGCTAAGTTGCGTTTTGAACTGCAAGTATAAAAATAAAAATTTTACAAGCACAAACGATTATATAAATAATTGAACTTTCAAAGTACGTCACTTTGGTGCGACAAGAGATACGGAAAATGATAATTTGCAACACTATATAGAGTCTACGTACAAGTGCATAGAAACGCAATAGTATACTTTATAAATATTTAAATCTCTTAATGTTTGCTAGATTAATATATACAGCGTGGAATAATAACTTTGTCCACCTAGAATACCTTCACTATTATTTAAAATATGAAAATATTTTTGTGAAAGTTAATTAATAAAATATAGTAGTTATATTAAAAGTGCTATAATATATTTGTAATAATTTTTCTGTGGGTGGAGACACTTCGGACATTTCAAGATTATCTTCTTTCAATGAAATTATTATATGATAATTATATTCTTTTACGTAATATGATTTCTTAATTGTTTTACGTATAAGAGTATTAAGGTAGAAATATTAGTTGAAAAATCAATTTAAAATATAACATATACTTTATTCTGGCATATTTCGACATAAATCGTAAAATATATCTCGTAAAATATTAATTTTTAAAATATTAAGCTCTTCTACCTACAGAAAAATTATTACTGATATGTATGTTACCTTCTTGACACTACACAACTTTTGTAAATAAATATTTCATATCTTTAAAAATAACAAAAGTATTCTTGAAGGTCAGAGAATTAAGTTTTTTTCTCCACGCTGTATATTTTATTAAAGCATATCTTAATATTAACATAAGTTGTTTAAATTATAAAGATGTGTTGAAAGAATAACGAATACAATTACAATTTCTGTAATAATAATTTCTGTAACAGTGCATTATAATTTATTGTTATGTAAAACATTATTTTTAGCCTTGACCGTAGTTGGCTCTTTTCCTCTTTTTATTTATTGTATACATATATCGGCCTTATTTAAAGTTATTGTGAATAAAGACAATATTTATTATGTATAACATGTACATCTTTATATTATATACATATTTAATTTGTAACCTATAATTTGCATAAAATTGTTATATTATAACATTTATTAAAATATTTTGTGCTACATTATTATTTATGAAGAAAGTACATATATAAATATAACATATACATATATAAAACATGCATTACATTTCATCCATAACACATTCTCTTCGCGCATCGTCAGGTTTTCTCCATTCAACGTTATTTCGTATGTCTGCAACAAAAGAGAAGTTTTTTATATCTTCATAATCTAAAAAGATTTTGGCAAATCAAGTTAATTGATTGATTTCTTACCTAATGATAGCGTTGTACGTTTTAAGTATAAAATATAAAGTGAAATGTACACTAAAGCAGCAAGTGCTGCGAGTCCTGAATATATTCTTAGAGCCATTCGACCACCAACATTTTTAAATAAGAAACCACCAAAAAAACTACCAATCGCATATCCTAAAAGTGTGTGACATTACACATATTTCACTAATTTAATTGTGCAAATTTCTTTTATTGCAAAATAATTCTTGGTAATGGTCTAACTATTACATATAAGAGAACTTACCGAGACTATCCTTCATGCCAGACGCAATTGCTTGAACAGTAGCTGATGTACCAGGTGGTGATATTACGTTCGCATACGTTACTATTGTTGCCAAGCAAAGCGCAAATGATGGCCCTTGCAAAACACCTTCTACCAAAACTGCATACCATGGCGATGGCACTAGAGATAGTAATGCCATCCTCAGTGCGTAGCATAAAAAGCAGAATGTAAGTGTGTACCCGTATCCAAACTTTTCTAATATTTTGCCTTAAAAAAATAGAAATTATTATGTTTATCGAAGAAAAAATTTTTAATTACACACACACACAATTGTACTTTATTATAACCACATATAAAAAACAATTTTTAATATTACCAGACATAAAGAAGAATATTACTTTGCTACCGATAAAAGCTGTGGACATTGTTAAACCCTCTATTAATTTAACTTGACCCATATAACCAGTTGCCATAGCAAGATCCTCTATGTACCTAATAAAATAAATTATTGGAATATAATTAATCTGACATAAATTCTACTGAATAATTTAAAAATATAATCAAATCAATTAAAAAGAATTTACCAAAATAAAAAATTGATTAAGAGACTTTCAAAAATACCAGCAAAGACAGCGATAAATAGAAATATAACAATAGGTGCCAATTTCAAAATTGCATACACATTTTTTAATATACTTGGCGATTTTGACAGTTTCAACTGCAATATAAATATATAACAATTAAAAACATAAAATTAAACATGTACTATTATTTTTTTTACTTTTTTCTAAGTATATGTAATATATACCTTTAATTTTCTACAGAAGATTAAATCGATACAAATGAATACAAGCACCAAAATAAACGCTGGTGTATAAGTTTTATAAATTTTCCCTTTCGACCACAAATCTATTGCAAAACCAGACAGAAGTGTCAGTAGACAGAAACCAAGTGTACCCCATAATCGCTGTCTGCCGTATCTCATTTGTCCAATTTCACCTGTGGAGTTAAATTTTGTTGAAAAGATTTCTTCTTTTTACTATACGGTGAATCTATACGGAATTGTAAAACTATTTATTGCTAAAATTTGATCAATTTGATTATTTTTTTTATATACATATATGTTTCTAAAATATACTACGCTTATGAAATTATTTACCTAATATGTCAAAGCAAATAGTATCATTTGCGCTGAGGGACACATAATAACCAGTGTTACCAAACAACAACAAGATAACAAAACCCCAAAAAGTAATAGATGTATATAAGCATTGATCATCTTGGAAATTATCACAGGTAACGTTGCAATTATAATTTACTGTTACGTTTCTTCGACACGGTGACGTTTCATTAACATTTAAGATCGGAAGAGCACACG